CCACAGATGCTTCACAAGAACTGTATACCCTCTGCATAGCTCATTCTTTTTTGCATTCTGGACCATCTGATCTTTTCTAACGAGCTAGCGCAAGATCATGTGCAGCTAATTTCCTCATGGGGGATCCCACTGCGAACTTCCGGAAAGGCAGTCCATGAACAATGTCGGCATGCCAAAGCATCTCGGCATGTCTTGACACAAGCAGCTGCGGATATGTGCTCCTATCCCTGGAGACCTCTCCTCTGCCGCCTTGGGTCAGATCGACAGTTAAGGAACCAGCTGCAGATAAGTCTCCTACCAGCTTGCCCGAGCTCCAAAAAGTTAAGGCTTTGCATGGTAGCCGGCTTTCGGGTTCCATGTTGCCCTCGGTTCATCAGGATGGGTAAAGGTGCTGGATTTGATGGAGGCATGATGCCGAACCAAATGGCCTTGGCCTTAACATTTCCCAATTTTTTGCACAGCATGCACAACAGGTCTGCGCTCCACCGACCATGAGGGTGCAACCATTGCCAAGGCAATGCAGAAAGGAATGCAAGGTGGGAAAGGCGTCGGCATGGGGCCCATGCCAATGAGATACTCGGCAGGACGTTTTTCGGAGCACCGAACCAACCTTTGCACTTGTGCAAGAGCGATGTCTCCGGCGAACCAAGATGCCATGGGGTCGATGGGCGGCATGATGCGGCCCCCACAGCCGTGCGGAATGCAGCACGACCCCCAAGACAGATTGGAATGATTGGAGGAGAATGCAGCAGCATGCAACAACGAAGCCGACAGATGAAAGTCACATCAAAAGCTTGTTCATAAGACAGCATGGACTTGCATGCGGCTTCCAAGAACATGTGCAAAGCTTGCTCAGGCAAATGATGCGTCCAAATCCTCCGCAGCAAATGAGCCCTCGTGGCATCAAGTGGCTTTCGCACTGGTGTGTGCGTGCGTGCTTTCCTATCTCATGGGGCACAAGGGGCGTGTGGCTTTCGCTATCAGAAGTGACTGGCAGCGAAACTGAAAGCAGTGTCCTGGTGGCCCTCTGGCTAGCGGTAGCCTACTGCAGGGGTCAGAGAAACCACAGCACACAGTGCCTAGCTTGCATGCAGCAGAGAATGTGCCCTTCGAACCTGTCAGAGCATCTAATCTACTAGTAAGTGTAAGTGGCATTCTGTCATGGCGACGCGGGTGGCCCTCGTTGGAAATGGACGGTTCATGATTCGAGCAACGTTTTTAAAGTGCTCGATCAGATGCAAGTTGGTCTACCTTGTGGGCGGGGAGTGCCTTCATTTCATGTGCAGTAGCTTTGCACTAGGACCTCCTCGCACTAGGACCGCCTCCTCTGCTGCTTCTCCCGAGAAGTTGCAAGGGCGACCCGAGGGCCATCGCATCGCTGGAAGTGCACGCAGCTTTTGAAGCAGCGCCTAAAACTTCAAGTGGATGTCGTTGCCCATTCATCTGCAGAAGCAGCGGCTTGAGCAACAGCTTTGGATCCTACAAGCTCTACTACCACTTCGGTCTTGCCGACAGATTCCCTTGGATGAACCCTGTGCTGCGGCCGGCCAAACCGTGCTTTGATGCCGGCACAAGCTGAACGACACGACAGCTTCAATGCGTCTGACGCCAGTACGAAGTCTTGCGAAATCGGCATTGGCCTGCGTCGATCCCGCTAAAACTTGAACCCAATGAGTGACATCTACCAAACCACTCCGAGCATGTGAAAACCGAGTGAAACTGCTCGCATGGTCGCCAAGAGCTGCACAGCTGCACAGCATTTGCGAATCAGTTCAAAAGACTGTAGAGGTGCGCGTGTGTGTGTGTGTGGGGGGGGGGGGGGGGGGGGGCGGTGGTGTGGTTCCGGCATCTGCCTCTCGTCATAAAGCTGCTGAGCACCCCTGGCAAAGGAGTTCTCCTCAAAATGCCAGTGGCCCGGTGACTTGGTCAAGAACAAGCCCAAAATGCATCGAAGCAGGCTAAGCCCCCCCTGACCACCACTGAAGCTGTAGCATTTGTTGTTGCACAGGGGCCGGGGATGAACAGGCTTAGGGGATACCTCTCCGTGTACCATCCGTGAGTTCGCAGCACAACCAGTATTGCGACAGGGTGGCTAGGAGATCCCTAAACATATGCGAGCTTCCGCGGGGGTCCCAGCTAGTCCCTCAAACTTCCAAGTTCCTCATAGACGCAAAGGGTCGATGGTGCTGCAGGGTTTCTTGAGATACTGCAGGGTCCTTCGGCTATGTTCGACCCATGCAGCTTCAACGTCCTCCTACAGCCCAGACGCCCGAAAGAAGTCGCTAAACGCAGACAACACACCAACCCACCCAGGGCTCCTCGAAACTCCACTCTCGCGGTCCCCCTGGTCTCAGGGAATCTCGAAGGCGCTTTAATTGAAGGCGTCCAGTGCCATCAAAATTTGACCCAATTTGCATTTCCGGGGTTTGTAGGGGGATGCTCCCTGCAGGAGCTCCCTGGATTCGGAGATTCTCTTGATTTTTTGGGGGGTCTCTCGGGATCCCTGCGTTTTGTGATGTTTTGTGGGGTCCTCAATGTCCTCCCTTTGCAAGGCGGTCCAATCCCAGGACCCGATCTATACTGTCGGTCGTGGGTTCCGTGCCAGCCCATTGCCGTCCACGCCCATGTCTACCCACGCGCAACGAAAACAGCGCTGGTAACCACGGGATTGGGAGGAGTACATGTGAGTGGCACATGTGGGCACCAATACGCTGCAACGCCTCGGCGGAGCTGAGGTCCAGAAGCAGATGATTGGTGAGAAGCTTTACCCTCTGGTGGCCAAGTACCAGCCAGAGTGGGCGCATGACTGAGTCATGACTGAGTCACACACGTACATCCCGAGTCTTTGGCAAGTTTCACATGCAAGGCGGGCAAGATCACCGGGATGATGTTGGAGATGGACAACAGCGAGCTTTTGATGCTCCTGGAGCTGCTGCCTTAGGCAAAAAGGATGGAAGCAAAGCCCAAACTCGCGAATGCCGCGTGCGGAGAGCAAATGGACAATGTGCGAGGTCAGAAGCCCAACTCCGTGGCAAAGTTGATGAGGTTGGGTGGCACGAAAGTGGTGTGTACAGTCCTTTGGAGATCGAAGGAGTGCTCACGTTTCCTTGCGGGCACAACCGGGGACGACTAGTGGAGAAGCCAAGTGTTCTTGCCCCACGTGCCCCCCACTTGCTCCACACGCCCATGCTCGCAATTCTTGAGTCAAGAGGGGCAAGCGGGCAAGTGGTCCACTGGGTCGGAGTTTACATAACAGGGGTCTGACGACTATTTAACTCTCAGGTTCGAGGCTGAGACAAGTACTAAAAAAACCAGGAATCCATGCTGATGTGCTTACCGAGCAACATCCAGTTCTGCAAACAGGACAATGTGATTTGGGAGGTTGCAACAAGCGAAATTATGCAGAATTCACGATACAAGAAGCGGCTGAGCAACAACGTGGAATTGAATTGAGCCATGGAGCACAAAGTTTGCGCCGATTCTTGACACGACTGACCAAAAGTCTCGACGGAAGCCCTGACACAGGCCATTCGAGTGATTCAACAAGCACGTCGTCCTTGAGCAAGGCAGCCTTGCAATGAAATACCACAGTTATGGGTTTCTCGTCTCTGGGTACTAGGTGCATTCTCAGACGAGCGCATGGTGCCGTAGCTCATCAAGACACCGGGCCAACCACGAAGTGATTTGGTCGCCATTCATTCAGTTTGAGGTCCTGGCCTTGCAAGATTTCAAGGCGCTGCACAGTGCATCAGCAGAAAAACACTAAGGAAGCCAGGCATTGACGATTCGCCAACAATACCGGGAACAGCAGAGCCGGCGTTTGGGGAGTCCCTGCCACCTGATTGAGTCTATAGGTTTTTTCGATCCTTACAGTACCCCTGGCGAACAGTTGTTGCACATCCGATGATACAGAAGCACCGCCTCAAGCAGACCCCAAATTTATTCACGTTGTTCCAGCTCAAGTCACTTCAATCACAATCATGAATCAATATGGGTACACTTACTAGCGCAAACGACAATGACAATGAGCTGGAACCTAGTCCCATGCGCTGAGCGCAGTGTGACTTTTTACTTTCTCACTTTCTTGTAGACCGTGAGGGCCCGAGATCGCTTCTGACACATGCAACTCTGATGTGATTTGAAGGAGGATCTGCGCATCCGGACCCTAATTGCACCCAACTGTCAGTTGCACAGTCCAAGGGCGAGGATGGGTCAAAGTAAGGAGCTGCGTCAGTGTCGAACTTTGTCAAACCATTGCGCTCAATAGTCAGCGTCAGAGGTGACGGAGAGCGATGGAAAGCGGATTAGACTGCGTAGCCAAAAACTAGTAACTAGTCAACATGTACTGCAACCGTTGAGAATTCAATCTATGAATCAGATGAACTTGACATGGAGAGCGTCCTCTCAACATGTGACCCAAGTTGTCCATTTGTCATGCTATTACTAGTTGACGGCTGGAACGACACGAGTGTTTCAGACAGAAACCACGGTAAAGGCCATGAGCTTTTTGCAGAACCCACTGCCAAGGGAGCCCCAGAAACAAAGGAGAATAAGAATGAAGTACCCAAGGAGATGTCTGAAGCAAGTCATGAGTGGAACACACGATTGCAGCATGGATGTTGCCTTGGCAAAAGCGAGCCTGCATGCTAACGGTTGTGACCGCAGCGGTGTATTCACCGGGGCCGTGTCTGCAAAACAACTCCTAACCGGGGTTATGGGCTCAGCCACAGGCGCCAACTTACAGCCACTGGCTAGGTCTGCGCTCACTGGGCACCGAATGGGTAACATTTTTGTTTATATTTTTCTTTATAATAATTTTTTTTTTTTATATTTTATTTGCTCCTGTGTGTGTGTGCTTCCGTTTGCGAGTGAGTTCCTCATATGTCATGACACGCACGGCACATTTGCACTTCAGTTCACGTCCGTGATGCTGTTTTACCAATATCAAGCCAGTGTCTATATTGCAAGTGGGTGTATCTAAGCTGTTGCCAGCTCTCGGCATGTTGCCACATGGTTGCAATCCCCAATGGCCAGCCCAAATGTGGAGTGGCTTCCCGCTGCCACACTTCTACCTCGGCCACACCCCGCATACCCCACTGACTGTGCCAGGCAGGGCCAACCAGCCCTGCAGTGGTTGCCCCAACAACCCAGAGGCTGATCATGAGCCCCCGCCGAAGCGAATTTGCCTGCAGCGTGACAGGTTTGATGAAGACTTGTATGACCGAGCGTGTGCACTTGTTGATACCATGTCACCTGTTGAGAAGGGGAAACTGCGCATTTACTTGGGTAGTGGTGTAGATTCTCCGGACACAGTAGCTCCTGCGCCAAAAGAGCCCGAAGTATGCCTCCATGAGCTGTTCAGCCAGTGGGTAAATGTAGACACTATGGACGACGATGATGCTGCCACAGTAGCAGAAACATTGTGCGATGCAGTTGCCAAGGTTGTCAAATCAGACACCTTGGTTGTCAAGCTTTCCACTGATTTGCTTGCCCAGGCATTCCGACAAACCTCGTCAAACTGCCAGCCACAAATCCAGCAGCTTTTGAACATCCCGTGCGTTCTGGACGAAGTTGTTAAAGCCCCTGCGCACTTGCAGCCGGATGCTATTGCTAGGTTGCCTGACCACCACCCTGAGAAAATCAAGAAATGGCGTGAGTTGAACAAGGAAATGGTGCGTAGGGTGCTCAGCCTGCAAACATCTGACACACAGAAGTTCTGGCTGAGGGAAGGTGTGAAACCCATAGCTGCTTCCAGCAACGAAAGAGATGTGTTTTTCGACATGGTTCGCATTGTCCGCCTCCAATGCACAAAGCCGGAGATTAAAGAGTTTCTCGCGTGGTTCAAGAGTAATGTGCCTGCCAAGTTCAGGAAGCGTGAACCGTTGACTGATAAACAGGCGCCTCTGACACAGGAGAATGGTGCCAGCACCGTACATGCCGATATTCGGACCCATGCTGAGCAAGCAGTTGAACCGACCACGTCGTGTGCAGAGCGCCTCAAATTTGACATTTCGCAATACAACCTTGAGAGGTTCGCGAAGGATGCTACCTCGTTGGAAGCATTGACTGGTGAGAAGGCTACCCTTGTCTCTGTGAAAGACATTGGTAAAACGGTCAAGTTTGATTCAAACCCTGAGCTCAACCAAGCCATCTCGCAGTTTGACAATGCTCTCGAGTCCTTTGGGATGTCCAAACCGGTGCGGGATGAGGTGTATCAACACTTGAAGGCAGCCACGTTGAGCCTCGGCCTGCGTTGCAACAAGACCCAGGTTGAGGATTTAAGGAGATGGATCGCCCGGGCACTTGCGTTGAAGTACAGGTCGGAGTGACTCGATGACGCGGGTGAGTCGGGCCACAACACTGTGCGCAGTGTCCAGTTTGCTAAACGTATGAGGCCTGCTAACCAAACCAAGTGGCGGAAAGTTTTGATGTTGCTGCTGAGAGTCGCTATTTCCATCATGTCAGCGTGTTCCGCAGCTAGAGGACCTGCTAGCTGCAAATACCAAATCATGTTCGCAGTGCGCATGGTTTCCTTGCCGGTTATTGTTGAGTTCCTGTCTTTGTCTAGCAGACACCATGATGTACAGTTGGTACGATACCTCGCATCGTTCCCCGGGAGTGTGTTTCCCAATATGCAGTCTGCCGTTGAGTCAGGCAATGTGTTGTACGTTTTGTGGTCTCCTCTCACTGACAAGGTGTATGGTGGCCGTACCACAAGCTTGATTGAACGACACAGACAGCATTTTTGCCGAATAAGTGACCGCAGCGTCCAAGGCCAAATTCCCGCGTATGAAGTCATACGTGTCACGTCGCCAGAGGGCGTGTGTCCAGATGCTTCATACTTCATGTTGCCTGTTGTACAAGTGTGCGGTGGCATCCCAGAAGCCATTGCTGCCGAAAGAGTGTTCCTTAACGGCTTTGCGTTCAAGCTTAACATGCCTCACGTTCGCAAGTGTTTGAAACTATCAGGCTTCCCAATGCCTTATGACACGGAGTGTACAGTGCATGTCAGAAATCAGATGCATCCGAAACGTCTACCCTCCAGCAAGACCCTTCCGCGACGCAGATGCTCCACACGTGTGCGCCAAATTGTCCGCCTGCCGAAGCCGCGAACAACATGCAGCTCATTTCACAAGATTTGCGTTGCCATGCAGTTTAGAGGTAAGGATAGGATTTCTAAGCATGGACTCCGCCTGCTCTACGTCGTGCGCAACCCTGAGCTTGTGCTAGCGGTAGTCCGCTATGTGATGGGCAATGTTGGCGGAGTGCGGAGGAAACTTGCCATGAAGCACCTCCGGAGGCGCTGCAAGCAGCTCAAGTTGCAAATGCCACTTGGGCTATGTTCTGTGCGCCTTCCATGGTGCATTCATGAAAGTAATGTTGGGCGCACAAAATCTGTCTTGCAAGATTTCGTGCTCCACCTGTTCTGGAACAATCACTTCCAAGTGGGACTTTTTACCCATGGCAGGCTGAAGCTTAGGATCCGTTGGGCCCCGCTGCCCTCCATCCTCCAGCTAATTCGCACTGCCCATAGGTTTAACAACTGCTTGGAATCGGAGTCTGCGTGTGCCTGTGTTTGCTCCAGACCTGAGTTTGCGCATTTTCCCCGTCAAAGAGGACATGTGTGCGCACGTCAATCCGAGATCCCGTGGCCGGACAAGCTTTCACGCTTCAGGAACCTACCTGTGCAGACCCGTGTTGTGCCTGACACGAGCTGGGTTGAAACCCATGTCACTAAAGCCCTCTTGGAGATTGCAGGAAAAATTAAGGATCCCTTTTCTGACTCGATTTCTCGGAACAAACTTGATGAGATATGCCAGCGCTTTGTTAAGCAGGTTTTGTGGGAGTGGGGGCTGTCGGGTGAAGGGTCAGAAAAGCGCACACAGAGCCAGTTCATCACAGCAAAACATGTGAAGATTGCGCGAGCTCTGTGCAATGGTCTCTTCATTGATGCCTTAGACAAGAATCCCACTGCGTTTGGCGCAGCCTGCCCCTACCTTATCAGGGAACTGGCAGCTGACATGTTTGAGTTTCCTACTTCACATGACTCGCGTTCCTTGCAACGTGGTAGACTGTACCAACTTACTGAGCCCGTTTACACGCACACACTAACAGGCGTCTTGCAAACAGCTTTCCATACGGGTGATGTTGTTCAGGTTGATGAATGTGCAGACGCTGCCTGCATTTTTCAAGGACAAGCCTACCCTTCAAGCTGTTTTCTTGGCAAAGTACGTGCGATCGGTGGTCCAACTTTCCAGTATGACAAGCTTTCATGGCCTGAGGTGTCAGGCATACAAATCCCAGGCCTCAGTGAAAGGCTCCAGCCAGACACGTTAAATGCTGCGCACAAGGCTGTTGTCAAAAACATGAAGGGTGCAAGACCTCTAAGCTGGACCCCAGTACGAGTCCTGCAGAAAAACAAGGACTTGTTGCGTGTCAGACCCCTTGGTAATCAGAGTGTTTGTCCAACGGCGCTCTTGTTCAGGCTTATTGCGCGCTGCGTTGAACTGTGCATTGCAACGCTCCCATTGTCATGCCACTTTGACCGCACGTCCCATGAAGCTACTACACACTTTCTCCAGCAACTCCGCAGTGATCCGTTGGGTACGGGACAGCCACTGACCGAGCTACATAACTTTGGGGTTTTTGTTTTGTCAAGGGATATCGAGAACGGGTTCATGAATGTTCTCCATGCTGAGATCATGGACGCGTGGGATCAGGTAGCAAGAATCATGATTGGCAACGGGGGTGCCAGAGCCTGGGTGTCCCCATGTAAGGCAAGACAGGCAGGTTCCTTCCAACAGCTGCCTCATGCCTCCTGGACGCGCCCCAAAAGTGGCACTTGGGTTGAGATCTCTTTGCCTGAAGTCCGACATGTGCTTTCATTTGCCTGTAGCAACATGCTACTCAGGTTTGGGAAAGAACCGGGATGCCAAACCAAAGGGATTACCATGGGTTCTAGTCTGGGGGGTGCGCTGTTTCGCCTAGTGCTTGTTGTGCATGAAATGCACGCTGTTGTAGGTGACCTGCCTGTCACACAAATTGTTAACAGCAGAGTGCCAGGTGCTCACGTGTCATGTCTGCGTTTCATGGACGATGTCCGTGTGTTCATAGTGGCCCCCTTGTCCTATTCCCTACGACGCTTGCATGATGCAGCCATTGAGTTCTTGACACACGTCTACCCTCCCCACTTTCCCATGAAGCCGGACAGTGTGAATCCATGCGTGGGTTTAGAGCTCGTGCTTGGGCGTCAGCTTCATTGGACTGCTCACACCAAGGGATTGACGTGTGGATATGACAACAAGCCCAGCTTGTGTGCTCCATTTGTGTCTGCGCAACCAGTGCAGCAAAAACATGCAATTGTTTTAGGGGCTTTTGCGAGATGCAAACAACTTAGCTCCTCTTTGCATTGGACCATGGTGTCACTTGCAGATGCTTGTTACAAGTTCACGCATGAGGGAGGCTACCCAGATTCGTTGATCTCCAAATGGTTGAAAGAATGGTGCACAGCAGTGTTTGGAAAACGAGGGCTGCAGCTCCACCAGGATGTGCTGGCAAGGGTAGGCAAAAGCGAGCAACACGCGAGCCCCATCCACAGAGACTCCTTCTTATCGGATGTCGTGTTCTGCGCTGTGGGAACCACTGATTGGAGATGCGTCTAATGCCACGCCGCGTCTGTGGTATGCGTGCTCAACAGTAGCTAACAAAGCCGTGTAGCTTAGCGACTGCTGATGACATGTGGGAAGCCAGGAGAAAACTAAGGTGATGCGTGGATGCATATGGGAAGAAGGGGGGGTCTGGTGCCATTTTTTGTCTGCCGTTGTTCCTCCTCTTGCTCTTAAGTTTAGGAAGGTACTTCATGTGGCAGTGTGCGTTTGCTTTTTATCTAAGGTGATGTGCGCTGTCACGAGTCTTTTTCTTTCTCAGCTTACCTTCCGCACCCAAAAAGTGTGCATTTGCTGTGTGGGGTTTCATATGAGAAGTGCAAGATCACAACGGCCGGCCACTACCACAGGATACTGCCCCGGGCTTCAGTCAGTTTGTTTGTTGATGGTCTCCGGCCACTGGCCTACTGTCATCGGCCACCGGCCAAACACGAAACGATTATGTTTGTATTGCCGTCTATCCGGATTTAAGTGTGGCAACAAGTAACGCCCGGCAGGGTGGAGAAACTACTGTTACTTGACCACACGCGGCTCCCTGCCAAACATAACTGGTCACTGCCACTGGCACCAGGAATCCTGGCCACGTGCCTAAAGTTAGACTTGAACACATTCTTGATGAATCTGCTTTCCCTTTCTTTAAACTTTGTTCTTCTATTTTGACGGGTTGAAAACCCTGCGAGGAAGCAGCTGAGGGGCCGGCACTACACTGTCGAATTCTCATATGCTGCTTACCCCTCATGCAGATTAAGGTACGTATGTTCAGGCTACACCATAACCTTGCCCCTCACTGATGTACCATGCTAGAAAAAACTGAGAGGCTAAGTACTACAGAGTACTAGATGACTAGATATGCACTTGTATATCCTCAAGCCGGAAAGGATGGCAAAGCAACGTCGCCAGATGGCGCTATTTGTTGGAGACCGTCGCACCTGCACTGGGCGCGTGTTTACAGAAAACTCAGAAATCTGGGCAAGAGCTAGAAGAGTTGGTGTGCAGATGCCCTTGAGAACGACCGCAGGCCTCGGCAATATCAATGTTAGCGATGCACGGTGTGGGAAGTACGATGAGCAACAACAAAGTGCCCTACCTTGAAACCACAACCATGATTGACATATCCTTACCCAACAGATTTGATGGACACCTAATCCCAGACGCCCCCGCGTCAGGACTGCAGCAAGCTGGTTGGACCTTAACGTACCCTTCAAGGACATTATCGGCTATGTGCTGAAAGTCTCACAGGCCCTGCGAAAGCCTGAAGTGCTTGGACTCAGATATTATTCGGTCTGCAACTTCGCGCGCGGAATGGTTTTGGAATGATTTGATGGTGGTATTGACACACCATTGGCCTTGCAATTGTGGCCTTCTAAAATGCTTAAGTGTGTCTTATTCCTTTAGCAAGGCAGTCCGAGATGACGATTTCTCCATGTTTCAATAGGAAAATCGTTATGTTCCGTGGACTTTACGAGGAAAATCGCTGTTTTCGGTTTCTGTAATAGGGAAACCCTCGAATTCCTCCAGATTTGAGGAGGAAAAACCTTTATTTGCTCTGTATTGTCGTAGGAAACCCAATCCCCCCGGCGTTTGTTTCCTTTTAGCCCCTGCAAGCTTGCTTTGTGAATAGCATGACAAACATTGTGTTTGCAAATCTGGAGAGAGGCTCAACT